AGTTTTCGTTAAGAAAACATATTCGTTCACTGCCGTCTGAAGGCACTTGCGAAATGGACACTGAGCTACTTACTTCTAGAAGTGAAGCACTGAATTAATTTGGAAAAATAGCCTGCCATCATATCCCAAATGAAACCATTAACATAGGAAAGTATGTGACACTAAAGCTGTAACCTCAACTACGCCACCCTTCTTCAAAACGATACATTACTGCATTAGCAGGAAAATGCTGTTTCTAGTGTCGTGCCCTAGCTCAGGTTATACGAGCCTGGGAAAGGGCTACTATCATTATTCTGTTCTGTCATAGAGAGTGGCTGCTTGTTATACTTATGACTTAGCAATCTAAACTTCCCGTGTAAACCTTGTCACAATCAATGTATTTTAGCTCCTGGCTCAACAGGAACTTATCTTTCCCGATCTCTTCAATTCTCTTCGATCGGCTCTTCGGCCCCTTCTTTTAGTAAGTTACAATTTGAAGATTTCAAGGAACATTGAAAAATGTTGGACAGGCTCCAGTGGACATATTGGGCTTCATTTACTTCTACTTGATATTTTTATTATAGGTCGATTCGGCAAGAACAGACGAGATGAGAGCGTTGGCAATAGAGAATATAGTAAAGTTCAACAAGGGGAAAGCCAAATAGGCGTCTTCGGACGGGCTTTTCTGCAAGTTGTTGTTGAGATTGTTTTTGTTATTGTTATGTGAGTACATTAGGCCTCAAAAAGGTGGTTAGATATGTTGGTAAACGCTATAACAATGTTTTTGTTGTTTTTAGGGTTGACCCCAAACGTCATCCTTAATTTGTTCTCAGAAGGAGTCCATTAACAGGTGATTAAGCACCAATTTTTTTCTTCAAATTTTGCCGTTGGTGACATGGAAAAATTCGTGTAATTCATCCTAAATGTATATTTGTTGATAATTATCATTGATAGCAAAACAAACACTAGCAACAATAACCGCTGATCAATACAATGGGCTGCAATACCCAGTACGTTGGGCACGAGAAAAGGTAATTCAATACATGCTGTAAGAAAGCCAGAATGTGTGGAGGGTTTATTCAAATAAGGACTGATTTTGGTGGTTAAGAGCAATAGACCGTCAACACTGCAAGTCGCACAACATATGGAAGGGCTCCGTATGGGGCATGGTAGGTGTATCAGCTCTAACAAGGCTCTCGTTCCGACAATCACCGCTGCGACGGATATTTTAACATTGAACATTTCTGCGACTCATCTGGTCTGAACAGAGAAACAGCACACGTGGAACCACTCGGAGGTTGTCGCCACGTTCTTCCAGTCCGTGCCAGGCATCGGAAGATGTTCGTATTTATCATCTGCTGCAGCAGAGGTCGGAGCGGGAATTCGAATGATCCTGAGGGGTCCTCTTTTGACAAGGAACTCGGCTTGGCTTACTCGATCGCTAGTTTATGCAGAGCCAGCAAGTTTGCTTTTCATCTTAGGAATATAACACATAAAAAAGCTGCTGTGTCATGAAAAAATTATTGAACAGAGTCAAAAATCCTAAACCAGGGAACTACATACACCAAATGAAATCATAAACAGTATAGAAAATGGGTTCGCTCCCTAATTTTTGTGAGGATGAAGGCTGAACTTCTGTTCTTATTCCCAGCACGATCAAATTTACTAGATA